CTTGGAATCCCTTCCATTCCCACTGGGTCCCAGTTTCCTTTCTGCCCCGGGGTTATCTGCAGGCACACGACTGCACCGTCATGTTGGGGTAGACCTTGAGCAGCACGTTGCCGTTGTGGTCCCAGAAGAGGATGCTGAGGGAGCCCATGGTGTCGGGCACGCAGCAGGGCTGGGGCACGCCGGGCACCACTCCCACGGCGCGCACGATGCTCTGCAGGGTGGCGTGGTTGGACGGCCTCAGCGCCTGCAGGAGACAGAGACAGCAGGTTACTGCTCCCACAGGCAGCACTGAAACAGAGCAAATAATCCTCTCCAAGCACTGCCAAAGAAGGCCTCGTTTGCACCCTTCATTCAGGCAGAGGCAGCTTTTAATAACCGGATCCCAACAACCCCAGTGAAATTGTCCCTGGGCCACATTCACAACACCAGAATGTACCAAGATGCTCACAAAAATAAAAACAAACACATAGCAACACAAAACACAAAGTTCTACCTCTGAACCCCCAAATCCTTGCAGATCCAAGTACCTGTACAGAAGATGGGTGGGCATGAAACATGCCCAAGATGCAGCTTTCAGCCAAAGACTCTTGGTTTGTTTTCAGAGCTGTTCTTACACACAGAGCCTGGAAATCCAAGCAGTTCCCTGGGCTGCTCCAGCACACACCCTGGGAAAGGGATGGAACGAGGGCATTGGGGCCAAATGTGCAACCTGCACTTTTGCTGTGGTGAGAGAGGATTTGTTTCTGGGAAGAAATTCAGTCTGAAGGGCAGATAAGGACCAAGCTGAGGAGCAAGGCTCAGTGACCTTGCAAGCAAAGAGCACAGGAATAGCTGTGAGATTCCTGCTCCTCACATCGTTTGCATAACACGTTTGTACCTTTAGTTCTAAGTCTCCATTTGGCAGCTAATCTCTAGAAAGGTATTTCTGTTGGTTTGTTCTTGAAGTCAGCAGTAGCCAGGGATTCAAAAACATGTCTCAGATTATCACACAGTTCCAATGTTTGTGTCATTTTTGCCTGGAGAAGGAAGGGGAAGCTCCAGCAGCACCCAGGCTCCTTCCCTTCCTCAGCTGCAGAGCAGTTCTGCACACAAACAACCAGGAGCTCAACTGGTGTGCCAGGCCTGCTGATCACATGCCAAAGGGTACAACACCCAGGGAGACCCTATTTCCTGGGGCCAGCAGCACTGGAATTCAAATCAGGGCTCTGAATCGGCCACGTGGCATCACAACTCCTCTCCTGCAGGTATGGAACATGTACTGTAAAGCAAAAATGTATTCCAAGGTAAGAACTCCAGCTCTTCCTGTTCCCTTGCATTTTCTCCCCTGGATTGGCAACCTGAAAGCCTGCCACTGCAGCTGGAGGTGGGCAGGCAAGTCAGCTCCTCCTTCAAGGAGAGGCTTCTGCCCTCCCCAGCTGCTTCCTCTGGGCTCCATCCCCTTGGCACGGTTCCTCCTCCCCTGGTTCCTCAAGCCCCTGAAATGCCATCTGTATTATGGGACTGACTGCTCAGGCTTCCCTGTAGCAGAAGTGAAGCCTCTGGAATGGGATGCTGCAGTGAGTCCAAGCACTGCCTTCACTGCAGGGTCCTGCAGGTGTTCCTCATATACCCCTCATTTTAGGGCAGCCTCCAAACCCACAGCCCACTGTCACCCCCTGAGAGCCTCAGGGGGTCCCTGCTGCTGAGGAGGGCACAGGACACTCGGAGCCCAGTTCATCCACCCGGGTCACAGGGCTGGGAGCACATCAGCCTCTCCTGGGACTCACATGCCAACTCAGGCAAACCAGAGGACACTTGGAAAGCCAGCGGGCCGGGATCACTGCTCTGGGATCCCCTCACTCTGTCATCAGAGCAATCAGCAATTTTTCAGATCTGGCTTGTTTTATGTTCATTAAACAGGTTAATAACAAGGTCACACACCATAAGCACTATTCAGGACATGTTTCACGGCAATTTGGGTTCTGGACAAAAAACTAACCCCAAGTCGTGTTTTTTTAATTCCCTTTACCAGCCTGTCTTTTCACTGGATGTTCCAAGCACTGCCCCTTGCAGCACGAGACACAGACACCACTGAGGTACCGGAGCCAAACACAGGATGGGACTGGCTGCCTTTGCTGTCCCAGGGAAGGAAATGCACAGTTTACAGCCAGAGACAGTGCAAAAGAACCCACAGAGATCCTACCTTAGGGATGGGGAACTGGCACTGCCCCGAGCAGTAGTAGGCATCGAAGGCCTTGGGGGAGATGATCCACTCGCTCCAGCCGATGTCCGCAAAGTCCACCCTGAGGTAGCGCCGGGCACAGGCCCTGGGCTCGTCCCACTGCCGCCTCCTGGCTGCCTTCAGTGTCTGCTCATCGAACTGCAGGCTCTGACTCTGCTGGGCGTGCTTCTTCCTCGGCTTCTTCTTGCTCCTGGCCCTCTGTGCCAGCTGTGGCTGGAGGGTTCTGTAGGGTTTCCTGCCCTCCCACGTCTCCTCATGGCCGGAGCGCTCCTCAGCCCCTGGCAGCTCGTTGTTCTGCAAGGGCAGCAGGGGGGCTGCAGAGCGAGTCCTCCGCTGCTTCCCAGGGCTGCTCCTCACCTGGCTGCTCCTCACCCGGCTGTCTGCCCTGGGCAGGACTCCTGCCAGAGGGGCACGGTGCCCTCGCAGGGTGGACACGACGCTCTCTGGCTCTGCGATGGCTGAGTCGTTGGCATAGATCAGGATGTAGGGCTCACAGCAAGGAGGTGCCCTTGCCCAGGGCTGCTGGCTCCTCAGAGCCATTTTCACACCCATCAGCAGTTCCTTGTTTCGCTTTGCCTTGTGCAGGAGCCCAGTGATGTCCTGCCACTGCCAGGAAAGGACGTCCTGGGAGGCACTGGAGACGTTTATCAGAAAGTGTCCCAGGCTCCGGGTCTGGTTCCCAGCAGAAGGAAAGGTCCAGAGCGACAGCCACATGTGAATGTCAGGTGTCCCCTGGCTGTGCTGGGAGCAGCTGCTGGGCTGGGAGCAGTTCCACCTGACCCCCAGCAGATCTCCAATGTGATAATACACCGAGGCCGACAGCACGTCCTCAGACTCTGTCAGTGATGTCAGGTTAAAAACGTACATTTCCTGCCCCTCCGGCCTCCCTGGGGAAAGAAACACTTAGGTAAGAATATGGACATTTCAGAAAGTCATGGAGAGACACAGAGGCTGATGTGACACAGCCTCCTGGCCAGATCAGACACTGATCGTGCCTGAAGTTTCCCTTGAGAACACCAATGCCACAGGGTCCATGAAATCATCCCACCCAGGTCACTTACTAGGGATGAACAGCCTCACCAGTCTCACCCTCAAAATACCAGGGAACTCCCTGCCCAGGCAAGTGAGAACATGATTGCCAGCACTGATCTGTCCCAGACTGTGACACCCTCGTGTTCTGTGTGACATTGTGTGTGACATCCCAGCTGCTGGTGCCATTTGGGTAAGCCCAGCACATTCCCCCTGTGCTGCCCCACTCCCACCCCAACAATCCCAGCAGCCTCCTCTTCTAAACACTTTTTTGCCGTGAATATTCCAACCCATCCATCAAACCAGCAGAAACCAGTCCCCCTGGAAAGACAGCCCTTCTCCCCAGAGTATCAGGTGCATTGCTTCATGGAATTAGGGAAAAACAACCCACGTTTCCCTCAGTGAGACAGGGCCAGAGCAGTGAAAAGGCCCAAGTATTTCCAGAGGACCCCCCTTGGTCACACACTCAGCCCAACCCGATGGCAGAGCACAGAGGGAAGTTCCCAAGAGCTGAGAGCTGATGTCCCAGATCCATCCAATTTCCAGTTGTTATTTATGCCCGGGGAACTGGATTTCCTTCCAATTCAATCCTGCTTTTAATCCCTCACACCAGCACTGGCTGTTGGTTCCACTGGTGCTGAGCACACAGGAGGACCTGACATCTGCTTGGTTTGGAATCACCAATGGAATGAGGTCAATCCACAATGTGGCAGAGCACTGAGTACATCAGCCTTAGGAACCAGAATTCATGGTGTCCCATGAGCACCTGTTAGAGAAGTTATTATTTCAATCATTGCTGTAACTTGAATGACAAGTTTGCATTTTAATTTTTAGTAAGAATTCCACTTAACAACCCCTGCCTGTTCTGAAGTGGAACAGTGCAGCACAAAACCAACCAGGCTGCTGCTTTTGTAAAGACATCCCAGAGGGCATGGGACAGGCACACGAGGACCCCAAAGCTCTGTGTCAAAGCCCAGCTCCAGCAGCCACTCCCAGCCTGGAACCCCGTGCCTAGGGAAAGCACTGGCAGCAGATGGGGCTGTTTTCCTACAAAAACACCTCCCAGCTCTGAGTTCTCAGATCCTTCATCAGCAAAATGATCCAGTGGCCAGCACAGACACCCACGGATTCAACGGCTCCCATCCCAAAAAACCCAACTGTGGGACCTGGGTTCCCATCCCAGCCTGGGAACACTGTGCCAGGGAGGTGACCTGGGGTCCCATCCCAGCCTGGGAACACTGTGCCAGGGAGGTGACCTGGTAACATGTGGGGTATTTATCTTTATAGAGGATGCCCTGACATTTTTATGGACTGCTCAATCCATCCCACGGGTGACAAAGGCTGCAGTAAGGAGCACTGCGTAGTTACACAGTCACCGTGAGCCCTCGTTTCAATAAGATATTGAAGTGGTGCCCTTGTGCCAGGGCACCAGGAAGAACAGATCAGTGTTTCCACTGTAAAATTTGGTGTTCCTGGGTTCACAGCCCAGCCACTAAAGTTCCCTCAGAGCTGGAAATGGGAACAAGTTCCCCACCAGGAACACAGATTTGGAAGCCAGATTTTCTCTTTTCTCCCACCTTGGCTCTTACTCTGCTGCTGCTTCCCAGTCACCAACTCATGTACTGAGCCAGAGGAAGATCCAGGATGGGGTTCCCTGCTGTGAAAGAACACAGGACCTGCTGCCAAACACTGGGGCCAGCATTGGGCCCAGACTGGTCCCTGCAGGCTCATGCCAGCTGCTGAGGTGCTGCTGCCCCGTGCCAGGCTGCTGCCAGCTGCTGAGGTGCTGCTGCCCTGGGCACTGCAGGTTCATGCCAGCTGCTGAGGTGCTGCTGCCCTGTGCCAGGCTCCCTTTGCCCGCTTTGCGTGGGCACCTCACCCCACAACAAAGCCCAGAAAGGCCTTTCAAAAGGGAGGAGAACACAGCTGTTCTGAAACCACAGGAATTGGCCTGGGAGCAGGTGTAATACCTGAAATTACCTGAAATTCAGTCAATCAAAAAGAGTTTAAAGTAATATCTCTCACTATAACATCATTAGAGGGACCTTCCAGCTCGAGTTTTTTAAATGACTCATTTGCAAGATGTGCTCCTTAAGCAGTGCTGGGATTAAAAATGCTTTCAGGAGCAAACCCAGTCTGCTTTGAGGTTTTTATCTTTCCCCTCTTTCTCTCTCAGGGCTGTTTCTGTCATCCTAGAAATGTCCTAGCAGCAATGACAGGAGCTGACACAGAACTCACAGCTGGATTTGGGGCCTGGAGTTTCTTTTCAGCTTTGTCAGAGGCAGCAAAGGTTCCTCTCTGAACAGTTACACTCTGAGACAACCTAGCAAGATTAGTGAAAAACAAATCTGCCAGAATAAATGATGGTGTGAACATTCATCAGAACCAAAGGCCAAAGCTCTCATCCCATCCCTCAATTGCAACGTTAAACTGCAAATGAAACCACTGAAGATTTGCTTCAAGGCCTCTTGCTGTAGGTGCAGAGGAATCCCCAGATTCTCGGGGAGCTTCTGCTCGTGGCAGACAAAAAGCTGAGTCCTGAGGGAGTCAGAGGCAGGGATGGTGAAACAGCAACACAAGGGATTAAATTAACTGATGCAGCCCCATTAAGGACGAGGGGAAGGCCAGGAGAGACTGATATTTGGAGCCAAGGAGTGCAACGATCAAGGCAGAGGATCTGGGGACAAAGCCCCTCAAAAGGGGAATAAGGTGACCGTGCCATTTTCATGGCAGGGCTGGCCAGACACAAGTCAGGCACAAGGAAGGAGTCAGAGACCAGAAAAAGCCTTTCCACTCCAGCCACCATCCTGAGGAACATCTGATCTAAGGGTTTCCTGGAAATGTGCTTTTCTGCCATCAGTAACCACACCAAACGAGCTGCTGCCGCCTCTGGCAAGGGAAAGACAACAACTAACAGTTAAAGCTTCTGCAGAAATACTTACTAAAGTGTCAAAAAACTTCAAACCAATTTACTGCTCTGGCAGTTGATCTGTAGAAGTGTGAGAGGAAGAGGAAAGGGATTAGTGAGCAGTGTGTTTATGGGACTGCTGGCACCCATTTTCAAGTGAGAGCACAAATATCATCAGAAAGACCACAGAGATGGACTTAAAGCAATGGCCTTCTGGGTTTAACATGCTACAGGATTTAATCAGATATGTGTAGAGGTGCAAATGTTGCTCTGCTTGGACTACAAACACCCCTCACGTTTTTAGGGGCTGGGGGGTATGTTATACCCTCCCCTCTTCTGGTAAAGCAGTTGCTCACTGTAGAATAAAGCCATACACGTTAGACTTCAGACAGCAAACAGGTCATGTCAGGGAGGCAAGAGGAGGTTCCTGTGCAGGAGCAGCAGCCGGGGAGTCCCAGCCCTCCATCCTCCCAGCTCAGGGTATTTACACCTCTGAAGCCTGACCTGTGGACAGAAACACTTGCAGCAGCCTATGATGGAGAGACTTGCAGGGCTGAACCCTAAGACACCAAAGGCACTCCTGGTATTGGATCTCTGTGCAGAGCTGCTTTATCAAAGATATTGTTGCCTTTGAAAAAGCAGAAGTAATGACCCACAAAGAAGCCTAAAGGAAGCCCAGCACCCAGCTCTCCTTGCAAGGAGAGGAAGGAATCGAGGCAGGTCACTCAAATTCCCAGACAGCTCTCAGTGTTACTGACAGATGCTTGCCCACCCAACAGCTGCTGGGTCACTGCACTGGTGTGATGAGAAGGAAAAGCCTGGCAGAGGGGGCTGCTGTGTGGGGCATCACTGCTGTCACACTGCAGGGGTTTGGGGTGCAGTGCATTTGGACAGGACATCCCAGCCACGGCTACATTGGGCTTCTGGCAGTTCAGTTTAGCCCTTGCAGAGCTCAGATGCACAAAAACCAGAACAGAGCGAGGGGATGGAGCGCCAAGACAGCGACACCTTCCCTGTCTGCTGGGCCACTGGTCCTTTGGGATGCTGCATGTTAAACATTCCCCCCTCGTTACAGAAAGTGATTGTACGTTTGCACCAGTCTACCTGTGCATGTCAGTCTGGAATCACAGACACATCTCAGTGCCACTGCCAAAGATGCCAAATGCAGTATTTACCATGCTCAAACCATGCCTCGACTGAACTCCCCTGTCACTGCCTCTCATTGCCAGCACTATCTCCACTTCCCAACGGGAGAACGCTGCAGACAGTCTGAGCCATCTCCAAACCGTGCCATGGTTCCAGCAAGTGCAAACCGGCTCTCGGTTCAACAGAGGCTACACATGCCAAACAGCACTACCGGGAGACTCTGGAGACGATCCGCTAATTACTGCACCTCCCTCCCACTGCGCTCGGCAGCGCTGCTCCACGCCGAGCTGAAGCGGCAAGGCAAGAATTAAACAAGAAGCCGAGCGCTGCCCCGCCGGTCCCCCATCCCGGAGCCGAGCGCTGCCCCGCCGGTCCCCGTTCCCAGATCCCAGCCCTGCCCCGCCGGTCCCCCCTCCCGGATCCCAGCCCTGCCCGGCCGGTCCCCCCTCCCGGATCCCAGCCCTGCCCCGCCGGTCCCCCCTCCCGGAGCCGAGCGCTACCCCGCCGGTCCCCGTTCCCGGAGCCGAGCGCTGCCCAGCCGGTCCCCGCTCCCGTCCCGTGGCGCCCTGACTCACCTGCGGGCAGCGGTCGGAAGCCGCGCACGGTGTTGCCCCGGCGGAGCGGCGGCCCCGGCGGGTCCCGGCTCCCTCGATACTGCTCGTAGAGCCGCAGCATGTGCTCTGCCAGCCGCCCCTGCCCGTGGTGGTGCCGCCGCTGCCCCGGGCCGGGCTCACCCCGCGGGGCCCCCGTTGCCGCCCGCCGCCCCAGCCCAGGCCGGTCCGGTCGCGGGTCCGGCAGCGCCAGGCACAGGCAGCCCCAGCCCAGGCACAGGCACAGCACCCACCGGGCCGGCACCGCCATCCCGCCCCTCTGGCACGGGAGGGGCAGGAGCGGCCCCGGCAGGAGCGGCCCCGGCAGGAGCACACGGGGCTAAGAGGGAACCGGGGACGGGGCGGCCTCCGGTCCTGGGCAAGGGAAAAAAAAAAGGAAAAAGCGGGGCGGAGGAAAGCGCCCCGCTCTAAACCGGCCGCGGAGCGAGGGGTTTTATTGCCGGCCGCGCAGGTTGCTGCCGGGACAGAGGCGGCGGTGCCGCTCCCGGTGCTCGCTCCCCGCTGCCGGGCCGTGCCGAGCCGGGCGAGAGCCGCCCGGTGCGGGGGTACCCGCGGCGATCGCCCCGCCCGCCCTCGCTCCGGGGCCGAAGCGCGGGGATCCGCCGCCCCGGGGCAGCGCAGCGACCGGCCCGAGGCAGGGCAGGCTCTGCGAACTCCATCCCCCTGGGCGGCCGGAGAACGAGGCGGGGGACCTTCCCCTGCCCGCCTCCAGCCAGCCCCTCCCAAGGGCCGTACAATAACGCCATCGCAATAAAACAAAAATTCCCAGTCGCGCCGCACTCGCCCTTCTCCCTCAGAACGTCTCCCGGCTCGGCAGAGCACAGTCCGCCGCGGGCAGGTGCAAGGGATGCTCCCCGAGCTGTGCTGGGGTCCTGCACGCCTCTCCAGAACTCCAGGAGTACCAGGTCACGCTCAGTGACCCTCGGCTTCCCTCTCTGTCACCCCCCGACCCAGGCGGGGCTGGCACAGGTGTGCCCAGCAGCCTCAAGCCCACCGGCAGGGACACGCACCCAGGGAAACCCTCCACTCCAGCAGGGAACAGCAAGGTGTTCCTTACTCAGCTGGGACAGTTCCACTGCCTCCTGCACGTGCTGCCTTTCAGCACTAAAAGGACAGAAATATCCCACTCCCCTCACCGGTGCCACAGCATCACACAACAGCCCATCAGACAGGACACTGTCCCTTCCCAAATCCTCTGCACAACACACAGGGGGCCTCACCTGCACACCTGGCTGGGAACACGGGGCAGGTAGAAGAGGAGCCTCGTTCAATTGTCCCTGTTTATAAATGCCTTGGTTTCTGACCCAGAGAAGGGGAACAATGAGATGAGCCTGCAGGTCAGTGCATGGAGCCTCACACACAGTATTGCCAGCACAGGCCATTCACATTTGCAATGTGCTACACAAAGTCTATCACACTGTTCACTTCCCTGGGTGAGACATGGACATCAGTGCAACACAGAAAACAAACCGCACAAGTGAACATTCATAGTTAAAACATGAAGGCGTGATTGATTTTTTGAACACCAGTAATAAAACCAATGCAGATCCCTGCAGAAAGAAAACAAAATTATTTGAACTGACAGCTACAAAAACCAGCACAAGCAGCAGTCTCTGGCTGATATCCATGGCTGAGTTGTCAATCCCAAAGAAGAAGCTTTATGCATCTGAAATACTGGAATTGCCATTTCGAGCTTCAGTCACGTTATTTCCTACTGCCAAGAAAAGCAATATTAAAAATACCCCAACCAACAAGATACCACAACTCTGTAAATAAAATGGGCATAACTGAATCCTCTTCTGCACCTACGGTGCCAAATAATGTACTGTAAGAACACGATGGTTTGTGTATCTCCAACACATCCTCTGAGCTGCAGCCTGACTCTTGAGATCAGACCTCTGAGAGCAACTTGAAAAAACAAAATAAGCCCTCAGAGACACCAGTGCCTTCAAAACTGCTACTTAAAAAACCTCCACCAAAACCCTTCCAGGTTCCTGCTCTTTCAGAGCTGGCCACAAAACGTGCAACCCGGTAACCTGGCAGTGATTTGTTCCCTTCACACGAGCCCTCGGAGGTCCCAGGGAAGAGGAAACCACAAATACTCCTTCTGGGGGAAATGAAATAATTACATATTTGCATAACAAAGTGATATTAGCAAAATGTGTTTGGCATGTGAAGAGCAATCCCACATTTGTGCCATCAGTTGCTTGGCTCTTGGCCTCTGCAGAATTCACTTCCCAAAGCCATCTCTGCTGCTGTGGCTCCCACATCCCTGCTGGCAGGGCAGGGGGGAAGCCCAGAGCCAAGGCCCTCGTGTGCAGCCCTTCCCTGTGTGCCCTGGACATTCCCTTCTCAGGGCTCAGCAGCCAGCCGGGTGTTTGCTCAGGTGGCCAGGAGCAGCCTGCCCTCTGGAGGGGCCTTCCAGGAGAATTCCTTCTCTGGGCCCCGGGATCACATGTTTCTCTCATCACAGAGAACCTGTGCTGTGGGATCTGCAATAACTCTGCCTGGAGCTGAGCTGAAATCAAACACCCCTCGAGTGAACAAGAGCCAAACAAGAGGAGCGACGCTCCCCCCGTGCAGAGCCCTGTTCTGCACACAAGGCTCATCTGCGTGGCCACAGCCTGCTCAGAGCCCTGTTCTGCACACACACACAGCCCTGTTCTGCACACACACAGCCCTGTTCTGCACACACA